GGGAGGAGGAAGGGGGTGGGAGAGTGGGTGGCAGGGTGGGTGCTGTGGGAAGAATCACGATGTTTTTAAAGGTGCAATGATGAGGGGCAGTGCCATGGCGCACTACGTTAATGCTCCGCCTGTGGCGCCAGCATCCCATATGGCGCCAGTTCTAGTCCCAGCTGCTCCTCTTCCAGTCCAGCTCTCTGCTGTGGCCTGGGAGAGCAAAAGATGGCCCAAGTGCTTGGGCCCCTGCACCTGCATGGGAGGCCAGGAGGAAGCACCTGGCTCCTGGCTTCAGATCAGCGCAGCTCCAGCCGTTGTGGCCACTTGGGGAGTGAACCAACGGAAGGAAGACCTTTCTCTGTCTCTCTCTCTCTGTAACTCTGCCTGTCAAATAAATAAATATAATCTAAAAATAAATAAATAAATAAATAAAGTTGCAATTATGAAATGTATAAAGTTTGCATTCTTTAAATAAAATGTTTCTGGGGAAAAAATAAGTAAATAAATGCAAAACATTACATGTAATTTAGAAGATAATTTGACAGTTTCCTGCCAGGTTAAACAAATGAGCCAATAACCACATTCCTAGGTATTTTCTAAATGTATTCAAAAACATGCCCCCATAAAAGCTTGCATGCAGAGGCAGGCGTTGTGGCCCAGCAGGTAAAGTTGCCTCTTGGAACGGGCACGGCCCATATCAGAGTGCTGGTGCAAACCTCAGCTATTCTGATCCTGACCCTGCTTCCTGCTAACGCACACCCTGAGAGACAGCAGATGACGGCTCAAGTGCGTGTGGCCCTGACACCCATATGGGAGACCCAAGTGGGGTCCTGGGTCCTGGTTTCAGCTTGGTCCAGCACTAACTGTTGTGGGCATTTGGGGAATGAACCAAGATCTGTATGTGTGTGTGTGTGTGTGTGCATGCGTGTGCACGTGTGCGTGTGTGCGCATGTGCACACGCACATATGTTTCACTCAATGGCTCTGATGCTCTGCCTTTCAAGTAGATAAAAATCAATAAATGAACTTTAAAAAAAAAAAGCTGAGGCCAGCATAGTGGTATGACAGGTTGAACCGTTGCCTGCGATGCTGGCATCTCATATGGGTACCAGTTTGGGTCCCAGCTGCCCCCCTTCTGATCCAGCTCCCTGTGAATGCTGCTGGAAAGCGGTAGAAGATGGTCCAAGTCCTTGGGCCCCTGTACCCTTGTGGGAGACCTGGAGAAAGCTCTTGGCTCCTGGCCTCGAACTGGCCTAGCCCCAGCCTTTGTAGCCATTTGGGGAGTGAGCTAGTGGATAGAAGAGCTCTTTCTCTGTCTCTCCCTTTCTCTGTAAACTCAGTCTTTCAAATAAATAATTTAAAAAAAAACAAGCTATGTAAAATACTTTTTGAGGGTTCTTTCACAATTACCAAAAATTTGAAGCAACCAAGAAGCCCTTTACTCAGAAATGAATAAACAAATTGTAATACATACATGCAGTGAAACGTTATTCCATATAATACAAGAAATAACTATCAAGTCATAAAAAGATATGAAGGAACCTTAAGTTCATAGAGATAAGGGAAAGAAGCCAACCTGAAAAACTTACACTCTGTGATTCCAGCCCTACCTATGATGGATGGGATTTTAGAATGTGTGTAAAGTCCACGCATTCTGTATGACGCTATCATAGTGGGTACACGGTCTTATGGGTTGGTCAAAACTCATACTTAATAGAACGAAAAGCAAACTTTAATGCACGCAATGTAACAAACTCACTTAGGAGGTCGAGAGATTCCAGTAAGGAACTCAGACTGACACTAGAGCCAACTGTACCATAAACATAAGCAAGAACGCACTGAGGGGGAGGGTGCTGACCTAAGTAACTCTGGAAATAAGTCCAGCGTCCAAGACAAGGCAGAAGGAAACGCAGCAAGTGCTTCACTTGAGCTGATAAAGCTCTTTCTCACATTACAGGTTACAGTTCTGACACTGCTATTTGTGTCTCTTGGAACTGAATAATGAAATAAATGGAAGGTGCGTGGTGGGAGCCGCAGTTGTTGCTATTGGAGTAGGAATTCATAGACAAGTAAGGGGAAGTGGCCGGCGTGATCCATACAGTGGTGGGTTGGAGTTGGAGACACAATTAAAAACTCATCTTGGCCGGCGCCGCGGCTCACTAGGCTAATCCTCCACCTTGCAGTGCTGGCACACCGGGTTCTAGTTCCGGTCGGGGCGCCGGAGTCTGTCCCGGTTGCCCCTCTTCCAGTCCAGCTCTCTGCTGTGGCCAGGGAGTGCAGTGGAGGATGGCCCAGGTGCTTGGGCCCTGTACCCCATGGGAGACCAGGAGAAGGACCTGGCTCCTGCCATTGGATCAGCGTGGTGCGCTGGATGCAGTGCGGCCATTGGAGGGTGAACCAACAGCAAAGGAAGACCTTTCTCTCTGTCTCTCTTTCTCACTGTCCACACTGCCTGTCAAAAAAAAAAAAAACAAAAAAAAACAAAAAAAAAAAAACCTCATCTTGAGCTCACAGATACAGATGGTTACACACAGGAATTTTTAGATACATGTGTGTACACACACACACACACACACGTTAGCACAGACACACAGATCCCCTTGCTCTGTTGTTGAGAGGCCTACGAGAAACGACACTCCAGTAGCAATAAGCACACCTTGTGTCCAGATCTGGTTGCTGATATCCAATAAAGGGACTGGAGGTCCTTGTAGAAATGGCTGACTGTGGAACTAAGGCAGGAAAGACCTAAGATGATCTTGGAGCAACTTCTAGCACTAGAAAATACGGAAATGCTCAACAAAACAAACTAAAAAATCTCACATTAATGCAAGTATGTCAAAGAGGCACACAAGACAACTGCAGGAGCCCCCGCCGACCAAACATGGAGCAATGTGCAATAAAGTAAATAAACTAGTACTTGAATACAGCCCACAGTATAAAACACATATCTGAGTTAATACTAACAGCCACATAAATGACGGAATTGAGCATGAAATGAAGAACAGACCAATCTCCCACGTAACAGATGTGGATTCCCCGTCCTCAAGGGGAGGGTGACTCCCACTCTTCGGGGGTAGGTGGCGTATGCAGACTTCTCCAGAGAGCACGGCAGAGAAGGGGGAGGGACGAACAGCTCCACGAGGGAGAAACCTGACGGTCATCACCACAGCCAGGCGGCCAAGGCCCATAGCAGCAGCCATAAACCATGCGCACAGCACCTGCCTGCAGAGGACGTGAGGAAAAGCACGCTCGACCTGTATGGCCTTGCTCCCGAAGCTCTCGACCCCAGTTTAATCCCGACGAAAGCATCAAGCAAATTCAGCATCAAGGATTTTCCACAGTACTCATGACCCTACTCAAGTTTTTTTAAAACGGTCATCCAAAACAAGGAAATGTCTGAGAAATTGTCACAATCAAGATGATTGTAAACATGATAAGTAAATGCAATACAGTGTCCTTCAGGGGATCCCAGAACGGAAAAAGAACACTAGGTAAAACAAAGGAAATGTGAACAAAGCATGTACTGTAGTTAACTAGAACATACCAGTATCAGTCCACTAACTGTAACAAAAGTACCACTACTAACCCATAAGGCGTTAATAACAGAGGAAATACCAGAATACTCTGAACTAACTTTGCAATTTTCTTATAAATATAACACGTCTCTAAAAAATAAAGTCTACTGGAGCTGGTGTTGTGGCACAGTGGGTTAAGGCGCTGCCTGAAACAGCAGCAGTCCCTATCAAAGTGTTAGTCTGAGCCCACATGCTCCTCCTCCAATTCAGCTCCCTGCTGATATGCCTGGGAAGGCAGCAAAAAATGGCCCAAATACTTGAGCCCCCTGCCACCCACATAGGAGACCCAGATGGTCTCCTGGCTCTTGTCTGGTTCAGACCTGACTGTTGCAGCCATCCAGGGAGTAAACCAGAGTATAGAAGATCTCTCTGTCTGTGTACCTCTCCATCACTCTGCTTTTCATATACATAAATCAAATACTATTACGAAAAGTCTAAGAGGTAGGATCGGCGTCTCAGATGTAACTTACTTCAGGACTCAACAGAAAACACCCAGATCCATCCCTTGGTCCTACTCCTGACTGCTCCTACAGAGACTCCTTGGGTTCCCAGCCCACATGTGGGTCCTCAGTAGCTTCAGGCTCAGACCGACACTACCCAACAGCAGGAGGAGTTTCTCCGCCCAGAACTCACGCGTAGGGCTCACATTGGAGCCCTGTTAGTGTTGCCTGGCAAGACGTGGGTCATGTCTGAACCAGCCACTCTGCAGGACGGTGTGCCTGGCTCCCCCTGTCATGAGGCAACCTAGGGATGAAGCACCGTTCTCATCAGCAAGCACACTCCGTGACGGAAGCAGTGGTCTCCCCAAAGTCCACGAGACTTACAAGGAGGGGAGAAGATGAGCATGAGGAGAGCAATATAAATCACAAATACACAAGTGCCTATTTTCTGTGACCTATAAACTATGGTCATGATTTGGAAAGATAATGGAAATATGATGAAGTTGTATTTATATCTTAAAGGCCTCCCATAATTAGTCTTAATCTAGTTTTTAGATTCTTATTACAATTCAACACATACAACACACATGCATAACTGCCCAAATCATTTAAAGCAAGTTGAAGGAACAAAACACAAATCAACAACTTTACCAGGTTTAATTCACATCTTGCTCAAACTTTCATCAAGAAAGATGTTTATAGACACAAGAAACTCAAATCAGTAATAATGAAAACGTGATAACAAGTTTACTTTGTTAACATCAAAGCAACTCTCCCTACACAAACCATAGATGTTACGCTAAAAGAAGGCTTCCCCATGAAAGCTCAGATACAGTGACAATGCTACGTTACAGATGTGTTGATGACAAGGTGTGAACAGCCGAGTCATCACCTAAGACAGCAGCACTGTAAATCATTGTCGTATCCACCACGGATCATCTAGGTGAAACATAAAAAAGTTTGGCTCTGCGGGAGAGCGTACACAAAAACCCATTATTTACCTGTAATAATCATCCGCTTCCCCACTGTTGCAGCTTTCGGCTCTCGGTGGAATACAGATGCCATGGCTGGCGTCTCCACCAGGCCCCTGGGATTTCTTCCGCAAGCTCTCCCGGCAGCTGGCTGAGAGCGCAGGAAGGATCCAACGGCTGAGCGGCCCCTGCTCTGCCTGTCTGCAGCCTCAACTAGGCGGTTGCTAAGGACTCTCGACGACAGGGAGCTGGAGTGTTCCGTGAACAGAGAGCGGTGTTCCAGCCTCCAAGAACAGGAAGTCGCGAGCTGGCGCACTCCCAGGACTGCATCCAGTAACAACTCTTCCTTATCTGTCAGTATCAGGGCAGGTGCTACATCTCCCACGGGGCTTAATGTCCCAGACAGCCCAGCTGACCCACTCACGACTGTCTTGGCAGCATTTCCCAGAGAACAGGTTATGGCAAAGAACAAAATCAACAGCAGGGGCCGGCGCTGAGGCATGGCGGGTAAGGCCGCCACAAGCAGTGCTGGCATCCCATTGGGAGCAGGTTCGAGTCCCAATGGCTCCACTTCCGATCCAGCTCTCTGCTACGGCCTGGGAAAGCAGTAGAAGATGGCCCAAGTCACTGGGCCCCTGCACCAACATGGGAAGACCCAGAAGAAGCTCCTGGCTCCTGGCTTCAGATCAGTCCAGCTCCAGCCATTGCAGCTGTCTGGGGAATGAACCATTGGATGGAAGACCTCTCTCTCTGCCTCTGTGTCTCTAACTCTGCCTTTCAAATAATAATAAATAACTCTTAAAAAAATAAAAAGGAGTCAAGCAGAGAACATGAAGTATGGTTAAATACATTTGAAAAACATTAGCTAAATAAAATACAAGATTACGTTAATAAATGAATATGATAATTGTATGTATATTTCTTTTAAGCCTCATATTCAAATACTTCTTTAAATGCAAGTTGTGCTTTGGTCATATCAGTTTCCTTGTGGTTTCTGTGTGGGCCTATGAGCCTGTACACACACAATTCACTCTTGTTACTGCATTCCTAGGCGAATATTGCTTGACCTCTGAAAGCCAATGTCAATCTTCTCTTCCAGAAATACATTTACAGACTTAGCTCAGTAACCTTCTAGAAGGTTCCTGAAATTTAACTTCTGTGGCATTGTGTTTAGACTTATCTTTTTAACTCTTACCACTTCGTTTTACGTTTTTATTTAGCTGCTTATTTGAAAGACAGAAAAATAGAGACAGACAGAGATCTCCCATGTACTGGTTCATTCCACAAATGCCCAAAACAGCTGGGATAAGGCCAGGCCCAAGCCAGAGCCCAAAACTCAATCCAGGTCTCTGGTATGAGTGGCAGGGAGCCAAATACTTGAGCCAATACCTGTTGCCTCCCAGAGTGAACATTAGCAGGAAACTGGATTCAGGAGGTGGGGCTGGAACTCGAACCCGGACATCCTCCTATGGGATGAGGGCATCCCAAGTGGCATCTTGACAACCATGCCAAACACCCACTCTTTCCACTTTAATTCTATCGATTTTGTCTACCTCTCCACTGGCATCTGCTTTCTAGAAGTTCATGATAAAATCATCTTTATTTATATCTCAGTCTTCAGAGACTGATATGTAATTAGCTGGTTAATAATTTTTGTGGGATGAATAAATGAATGGAAAGGTAATCCCAGGCTTCTCGGAATTATAATATTGATTACCTGGTAATCAACTGCATGTGAATTCTAGTAGTAGTTTTGAATTCAACATGAAATACGAACATACGACTAAAAGCTTGCAGAAAATAGAGTTAAGAGAGATGTTTGGTAAAAACATTCGAAGTCCATATATTGTTTTTTCATAATACAGACTTTCCACGATTTCTTAATAATTCATATTTGCTTGAGAGACAGAAAAGACTGCACTAGAGCTCACATGCACTGGTTCACTCTCCAAATACCCACAGCAGCCTGGGGCAGGGCTGGGATGAAGTCGGGACCCGGGAACTGAACGCAGGTTCCGCCCAAGACTTGGGCCACCACCCGATGCCTCCCACGCTCCATGGTAGCTGGAAGCTGGAATCAGGAGTGGGAACTGTGGACCCAACCAAGAGAATCTGGGACCAGACGTGGTTGTTCTAACCAGCGTCTTAACCCCTAGGCCAAATATCCAACTCCTTCCAAGAACTTCTTCAAAGTTCCCTTGGAAATTTCTTTACTGGAAATGGAACGTCTGCTGTTTGTGGAGAATTAAAACAAAACCAGGGCCGGCGCCGCGGCTCACTAGGCTAATCCTCCGCCTAGCGGCGCCGGCACACCGGGTTCTAGTCCCGGTTGGGGCACCGGATTCTGTCCCGGTTGCCCCTCTTCCAGGCCAGCCCTCTGCTGTGTCCAGGGAGTGCAGTGGAGGATGGCCCAGGTGCTTGGGCCCTGCACCCCATGGGAGACCAGGAGAAGCACCTGGCTCCTGGCTCCTGCCATCGGATCAGCGCGGTGCGCCGGCCGCAGCGCGCCGGCCGCGGCGGCCATTGGAGGGTGAACCAACGGCAAAGGAAGAGCTTTCTCTCTGTCTCTCTCTCTCACTGTCCACTCTGCCTGTCAAAAATAAAAAAATAAATAAATAAATAAATAAAAAATAAAAAAATAAAAAAAACAAAACCAGGACACTCACTCTGCAGAGGGACACCAGCACGGTGGACAGAGCCGTGTGCCGCGGCAGCCCCCTCCCAGTGCTCACTCTGCAGAGGGACACCAGCACGGTGGACAGAGCCGTGTGCCATGGCAGCCCCCTCCCAGTGCTCACTCTGCAGAGGGACACCAGCACGGTGGACAGAGCCATGTGCCGCGGCAGCCCCCTCCCAGTGCTCACTCTGCAGAGGGACACGAGTGCGGTGGACAGAGCCGTGTGCCATGGCAGCCCCCTCCCAGTGCTCACTCTGCAGAGGGACACCAGCACGGTGGACAGAGCCATGTGCCGCGGCAGCCCCCTCCCAGTGCTCACTCTGCAGAGGGACACAAGTGCGGTGGGCGGAGCCATGTGCCGCGGCAGCCCCTCCCAGCGCAGCTGCAGGAAGGGCTGCCAGCTGTGGGCTCTGTGGGGTCTGCTTCGGCTGAAGACAGCTACCTCTCCCCTCGGAGCTCAAGTCCCTTCCTGGGCAGCCTGGCCGCGGGCGAGGGCAGGCGGGGACTGGAAGCCCAGTCTTTCAACTTGCCGTGGGGAAACTTTCCACTTACTTGGCCCAGGCTTTGCTGAGCCCTCATCACAGTTCAGCTTCTGCCTCCGCCCCAGCCCACTTCCTCCCTCCCTCCCCTTTCTTTCACAGGTGGAAATCCCAAATTGCCATCTTGTCCCCGACTTCCAGAGCAGCACAGACCCCCATGCACAAATGCATTGTAGAGGGGCGCATCTTGTTTGTACCACTCAGCTCTTCTAACAAGAAACCAATTATGGCCGGCGCCGCGGCTCACTAGGCTAATCCTCTGCCTGCGGCGCCGGCACACCGGGTTCTAGTCTCGGTCGGGGCACCGGATTCTGTCCCGGTTGCCCCTCTTCCGGGCCAGCTCTCTGCTGTGGCCAGGGAGTGCAGTGGAGGATGGCCCAAGTGCTTGGGCCCTGCACCTCATGGGAGACCAGGAGAAGCACCTGGCTCCTGCCTTTGGATCAGCGTGGTGTGCTGGCCGCAGCGGCCATTGGAGGGTGAACCAACGGCAAAAGGAAGACCTTTCTCTCTGTCTCTCTCTCACTGTCCACTCTGCCTGTCAAAAAAAAAAAAAAAATTATGTCTCCCCAGTGCCGGCAAGTGCACTCAGTCTTTGTCATGTTAGTCTTTCCTTTGTCCTACTCTGCAATGCACTCCTTACCTTCACAGGGGCCTCTGGTTCCAAAAGTCAAGGGCTCTCTAACCCTACTGGAAAGCATCTCTCTTAAAATGCTGTATTTGTGGGGCCGGCACTGTGGCCCAGCAGGTAAAGCCACCACACGCAGTGCCAGCATCCTATATGGGCACCCATTCAAGTCCAGGCTGCTCCACTTCCAATCCAGCTCTCTGCTATGGCCTGGGAGAGCAGTGGAAGATGGCCCAAGTCCTTGGGTCCCTGCACCCGCATGGGAGACCTGGAAGAAGCTCCTGGCTCCTGGCTTCGGATCAGCCCAGCTCCAGCATTGGCAGCCAATTGAGGAGTGAACCAATGGTTGGAAGACTTTCTCTCTCTCTCTCTCTCTCCCTCCCCCCCTCTCTCTGTGTAACTCTGACATTCAAATAATTTTTTTTAAAAAAACTTAATGAAAACAAAAATAAAATAAAAGTCTGTATTTGTGTCCCTGGGACTACCCCTATCCCAGGCATCCAAGTCTGTGCATAGTGAGTAGGAGACAGAAGTCTGTGCATGCCACGTGCAGTCTTAATGATGCCGGGAAAAGAACGGCATGAGGAACTTAGATGAAGGAAATCAATTCTTGTTAGCATAAGCAGAAAATAAAGGAAGTCTGGGCTCATGACTGAGACCTCCCATTAACCCATCATGGGAAATGCAGGCTTTTGCTTGGCCTCTGAAATTGTCACAGGCTTGACAATTTTGAGTGTAGGGTCAGTAATTCTGATTGAACCAGAGTCAGTGCTCGATGAGATGATCCTACAACGCAACACAGATTTACGGTCATTTGTTTAGTTTTGTTTCATTCTTTAGGAATTGTTAAACTTTATAATTAAGTATAGTCTCAAGTAAGATCCTTGAAACACTCCTTTTCCTCATAGAAAACATTTTAAAATGTTTTTATTATTATTATTATTATTATTATTTTGGCAGGCAGAGTGGACAGTGAGAGAGACAGAGAGAAAGGTCTTCCTTTGCCATTGGTTCACCCTCCAATGGCCGCCGCGGCCGGCGCGCTGCAGCCGGTGCACCGTGCTGATCCGATGGCAGGAGCCAGGTACTTCTCCTGGTCTCCCATGGGGTGCAGGGCCCAAGCACTTGGGCCATCCTCCACTGCACTCCCGGGCCACAGCAGAGAGCTGGCCTGGAAGAGGAGCAACCAGGACAGAATCCGGTGCCCCGACCGGGACTAGAACCCGGTGTGCCGGCGCCGCAGGTGGAAGATTAGCCTAGTGAGCCGCGGCGCCGGCCTTAAAGTGTTTTTAAAAAGATAACTACATGTGAATTTTTTAATACAAGCAGCCTTCTTAAAGAAATAGTGACATACTGAACTTATTTTCTAACTGGCTTTTTTCCTTAACAATACATCTAAAGA